TATATTCATTTTATTAATAATTCATTTGATTATTGTCAAAATTTTCACAAACGTAATGTAGAAATTGAGATCAGCATACATACATAGTCATGTAATTTTGTCAGAAGCAGAATATTTAAAGAAATATGAAAATTTTGTCATGATAATTCAAGTAAAAGAAGTAATAATTGAAGGTTTATATAGCCCTCTGTTTTATTTTAAACCAATTACCAGGTTAAAAACAATGATCACAGTAATTATCAGTAAAACTCAGCATCGACAGTACCTCAACAGTAATTATCAGCAATTCTCAGCAACGACAGTACATCAACAGTATTTATCAGTATTTATCAGACTCAACAGTAAAAGGCAACAGTAATTATCAGTATTTATCAGAAACAACAAAAATTATCAGCAACAACAGTAATAATAACAGTAAATATCAGTATTTATCAGCAACAACAGCACCGTATCAGTAATTATCAAACATTATCAGTAAAATTTGGGATTCTCAGCACTTTTTTCGTCCAGTAGTGTTTGTATCAAGATCTCAGACTAGCAGTAATTCTACAAATTCAGACACATATAAAAAGAGTGGTTCAGGGTCTCAGTCTTTTACAAGTTCCCAGTCTCCATCCCAAGGTGGTTCTAAGTCCGGTCCAGGACGTTTTGAAGGATCATCTGGAATAGGGTCGCTTCCTACTTGTAGTTATTGTAAGAAAAAGGGTCATCTGATCAGTGAATGCTTTAAACTTAAGAGAAAATATGATTTTGACAAAACTCAACCACATGCTTGTGCGGCATTTAAAGGTGATAGAGAAGCCTTAGTTTCGATTTGTTCTGACACTCCTGATGTCCAGGGTTCACAGTCCAGTTCTATTGATTCTATGGAGGATTATAAGCCCTTTATGTCTCAGGGATTTGTTTCACTCGGTGACTCTAGCGAAATAAAACCTGTCCAGATTTTGAGAGATACTGGTGCTGCACAGACGTTATTGTTAGAGGGCGTGCTTCCTTTGTCTGAGCAGACTTCTACTGGTGGGTCAGTTTTATTACAGGGTGTGGAGCTAGGCGTCATTGATGTTCCCCTGCATAGAATTAGTTTGAAGTCAGATTTAGTTACTGGACCTGTTATCGTAGGTGTTCGACCTACTCTTCCTGTTCCAGGCATTTCTTTGTTGCTAGGCAACGATTTAGCTGGTGGAAAAGTTGTACCAGATCCTATAGTTTGTGAGAAAATCACTCCAGATGTCATGTGCGATGATGAAGATGATGACATTTATCCAGCCTGTGCTGTTACTTGAGCGATGGCCAGAAGACGAGAAATGGAGGCAGACAATACTCAAGCCTTTGACGAGACGAATTCCTCTGTTGATATTGATTTGAATGACACTTTCTTATCTGACCTTGATGGCACTCAAACAAGCATGGAACCACACAATATCAAGACGCAAGAGAAGAAAGAACTGTTACCAAAATTTGGTGGTGAGGATGATGAGTTGCATCCACTAGTTAGCCAAGGCAAGGACATCCTCAGCCGAGAACGTTTACTCTCTGAACAACATAAAGACCCAGATATCATTCAACTTAGTAAGAGGGCACTTCCACCAGAAGAGGCTACTAAAGTTGGAGAATGCTTCTATATGAAAGATGGCATCCTTATGCGAAAATGGCGACCACCTGACGCATCCCCAGATGAAGTGTGGCGTGTTGTTCATCAGATAGTGGTCCCAGCTGCTTATCGTCGAGATGTCATGAGTTTAGCTCACGATACACCTATGGCTGGTCATTTAGGTATCAATAAGACTTATAATAGGATTTTGAGTCATTTTTATTGGCCTAAGTTAAGGAAGGATGTTTCTGAGTTTTGTAAGTCGTGTCATGTCTGTCAGATGGTAGGTAAACCGAATCAGAAGATACCATCCGCCCCTCTCCAACCAATTCCAGCTTTTGAAGAACCGTTTAGTCGAGTGTTGGTGGATTGTGTAGGACCTTTGCCTAGGACCAGATCTGGGAACCAGTATTTACTTACCATTATGTGTACATCCACTCGATTCCCTGAAGCCATACCTCTTAGGAATATAAAGGCAAAGAGCATAGTTAAGGCCCTAACCAAGTTCTTCAGTTTTGTAGGAGCACCAAAGGCAATTCAGTCGGATCAAGGCTCAAATTTTATGTCGGGGTTGTTCCAGCAAGTCATGCATGAGTTGGGTATAAGGCAATATAGATCAACTGCTTATTATCCTGAGTCCCAGGGAGCGCTAGAACGTTTTCATCAAACCCTAAAAACAATGCTGAAGACCTATTGTTACCAGTATGAAAAAGACTGGGATGAAGGGGTTCATCTTGTACTATTTGCTGCAGGAAAAGCAGTCCAGGAGTCTCTTGGGTTCAGTCCTTTTGAATTGGTGTTCGGTCATACAGTTAGAGGTCCTTTGAAATTGTTGAAGGAAAAGTGGCTGACTGAGATTACTGATCTTAATCTTTTAGATTATGTGTCTGATTTCAAAGAAAAACTTTACAATGCTTGTAAATTAGCACAAGACAATTTGAAGAATTCTCAGATGAAAATGAAAATGTGGTATGACAAAGATGCCAGAAATAGGGTGTTTAAGCCAGGTGATAAGGTTCTTGTATTTTTACCTATTCCTGGTCATCCTTTACAGGCCAGATTTTATGGCCCTTATGAAATTGAAAGCAAGATCAGTGATGTAAACTATGTAGTTAAGACACCAGGTCGACGTAAAGAGAAACGGGTTTGTCACATTAACATGTTAAAAGAGTATTTTGAAAGGTGTGACCGAAATTCTGTAAAACCAGTTTCCACTTTAGCCAATGCTAAGACTGTTCAAAATTGTATTGAAAGTGATACGAGTGTAGAGATGAATGAGAAAGATTGTAATCAGAGTGTTCGTTTGAAAAACTCAGAAGTTTTGGCTAATTTGGATGCCAAACTTGGACATTTGAACATTCGTCAAAAAGAACAAGTTAAAAACTTGATGAATGAGTATCATCAAATCTTTTCGGATGTTCCAAAGAAAACTAATGCAGCTTGTCATGATGTCATAGTGAGTGACGTTCTGCCTATCAAACAACATCCGTACCGTCTGAATCCAATAAAATTGCAGTACCTAAGAAGGGAAGTGCAGTACATGTTGGACAATGACATTGTTGAACCTAGTAAAAGTGATTGGAGCTCACCATGTATTCTTGTACCAAAACAGGACGGTTCGTACCGATTATGTACAGACTATAGAAAGGTGAATTCTGTTACCAAAACTGATTCATTTCCAATACCTAGAATCGATGACTGTATTGACCGCATTGGAAACGCCAAATTTGTCAGTAAATTTGACCTGTTGAAAGGCTACTGGCAAGTACCGTTAACAGAAAGAGCAAAAGAAATATCTGCTTTTGCTACACCAGATGGACTTTACCAATATAAAGTAATGCCTTTTGTCATGAAAAACGCACCGGCTACATTCCAAAGGATGATTCACTCCCTTCTTCAAGACCTTGAGGGATGCGAGGCCTACATTGATGATGTCGTCATATACAGCAACACATGGGACGAACATCTCCGAATCATGCGTGCTTAATTTGACACTTTAGCTAAAGCAAACTTAACTGTGAATCTTGAGAAGAGTGAATTTTGTCATGCTTATGTAGAGTATTTAGGTCATAAAATAGGTCAAGGTTATGTTACACCCATAATGGCTAAAGTGGAAGCTATTGCAACGTTCCCGATTCCTACAAACAAGAAAGAGTTAATGAGGTTTTTGGGCATGGCTGGGTTTTACAGAAAATTTTGTCCAAATTTTTCCTCAGTTGTAAGTCCACTTACAAATCTTTTACAAAAGAGGGTTAACTTTGAATGGACAAAGGACTGTGAAAAATCATTTCATAAAATCAAATCTGTCCTTATGAGCAACCCAGTTCTGTCAACTCCAGATTTTTCTAAGCAGTTCAAGCTTACTGTTGATGCTAGTGATGTTGGAATCGGGGCAGCTTTGTTTCAAGAACATAGTGATAAGGTAGATAGAGTTGTTTCTTATTTTTCAAAGAAACTTACAAAATGTCAACAAAAGTATTCCACCATTGAAAAGGAATGCCTTGCTTTGTTGTTAGCCTTACAGCATTTTGATGTTTATCTGAATGTTACTTTGCATCCAATTCTTGTATATACGGATCACAACCCCCTGACATTTTTGCATAAATTGTCAAACAAAAATCAAAGACTGACTAGATGGAGTTTGTTGTTACAAGAATACAACATAACTATTAAGCATATCAAAGGCAAAGACAATGTTATTGCAGATGCCTTGTCCAGAGTATCATGAACAAATTAGATTTTGTATTAATGTACATAAATTTTATGTTTTCATTGACATTCAAACTTTTTAAGGGGGGAGGTGTTGTGAGGTGTGTTGTATTTGTATTATTTCATCATGTATTTTATTAGTAACATTAAGTTTCTTGAACATTCCAGAGTGGTCAACATGTTCGGTCATTTTTTCTAGAACATTCTTGAACTTTATTCATGTCCAGAACTTTCCAGGAATATAATGTATTAACATTTTCTAGAATATTCTAGATTTATATTACTGTATAAATACCCTGTCAATTCGATGCATAGATATACTCTTGTCGTATGAGCACCATTGAGTTACAACTGGGATATATTTTCACTGGGACATTGTGTGCAGCAACGGACACTCTGATGTATGTATTTTTAGATTTTTGCTAAGTTTGTACTTAATGATTTGTATATTACTGTAAATAAATTATTGTTAAGTTTTAAACTGTGTGATTGATCTTTGCTGGCATTTAGGGTTATTCTGACCCATAACATTGTTTTCAGCCTCAATATCCCATTCCTTTTGAGCAATCGTATAGAGTTCCTGATAAAATAATAGATTTCCTCCTAATAAAATAAAGTTTATGTTCATGTAATTGAGTTTCTGTTCATGTAATTGAGTTTCTGTTAAAGTAATAGAGTCCCTGTTAATGTAAATTACCTCAACAGTCTCCAGATGTACCTCAACAGTCTCCAGATATACCTAACGCGTCTCTGGCTGTACTTCAGGAGCCTCCAGATGTATCTCAGGCGTCTCCAGATGTACCTAACCAGTCTCCAGATGTAGAACAGGTAACTATTTGTGTACTCTTATTTAGTTTTATCACAATAATATTTTGATTTAATCAGGAATAAAAAGAGCCGTCTCAAGTTTCATAATATAATTTTTGAAAAAAACTGGTATATCATAAATTTACCACAATAAACATGATTATCGTTTATTTATCTATGGATACATTTCATTTTTTTTTTTTTTTTTTTAGGATATTGCTACTCCCAAGGAAACCAGATCTGTGGGGTGTCAACGTTCCCTCCAGAAGCCACAGAGAAGGTCCCATTATACTCAGACCAAGTGGAAGACTTGTGATAAAGGTAAGTATCCATAACGACAAAATTCATTGGTAAAATTTGGCATGATATCCAGACAATCCTTATTTTAATGTTGACTATAATTCTGTATTTAATAAAACTTATTCTATGGATAAAATATTAGATTTTGCTATTTTGAAATGATACTAATACATTCAGTTTTTTTGTAGAGGTACAGGCTGTCCCAAAGGTGAAAACTAGGGAGATTGGCGTGAGTTGTAATCTACTACCAGCTCCTCCTTTACATGCTCAACCTATAGAAGTTCCTGTCAACTAGTCATTTGCCTCAGAGGAGACTGAAAGTGAGCAGGATGAGCTGGAGGAAACTGACTATTCCTTCGAGTCGACCGAGTCTGATGAAACTGTGGAGAGTGACCTTGGGTAATCCTGAATTTTTTCTCAGTCACTAATAATTTAAAAATGTCACAAAAATGGGAAAATCACAACTCTCTGATTACCATTAATTTTTCCTATAAAATTAGATCATATTTTTATTATATTTTGTCAGTTAATAATGTCGAACAGTACAAAGGTTTGAAGCATCATTGTAATATATATAATATTTTTATTTCAGGAGCGATCGTGACAGGAAATTCCTTGTTTATGAGTGTCAGCTTATGGAACTCTTTGCAAATTGTCCCTCCTGTGCACAGCCAACATATGGGGAGATCAAACAACTGAAGGGATCCTTCATCTCCATCACTCAAGACTGCAGATTTTGTTTCTACCAGCGGACTTGGAGTAGCCAGCCCCTAATTGGTAGCATTCCTGCGGGGAATTTCGAAATATCCTGTGCATTGCTGTTTTCAGGATCTCTTCCAAGCAAATCAGTCAGAATGTTTAAGTTCTTGAACATGGCTTCCATCTCCTACAGGACCTTTATGTATCACCAACAGTGTTACCTCCATCCAGCAGTGACTGAAGTGTGGAGAGACCAACAAGCCTCTTATGTACAAGAAGCACGGGCGTCGGGGCGGCAGTTACATTTAGGTGGAGATGGAAGGGCAGATACACCTGGCCATTGTGCCAAGTTTGGTAGCTACACGCTTATGGACCTAGCAGAGAATGTGGTGGTCGATCTCCAACTTATACAGGTAAATACAATTATGGGTGATAAAATGTTATTTTAATTGTTTAATGATTATGTAAGAATTTTTTCTTCTCTATGGTGTAAATTAAAGTGATATTAGAACTGTAATTTATTTTTTAATGCATTTCAGAGTAACGAAGTAGGGGGGAGTTGCCTTATGGAGAAAGAGGGTTTGATCAGAGGAGTCCGTTACCTTGAAGAGAATGGTTTACCAATCAGCCAGATAGTAACGGACAGACACCTTCAGGTTGCGAAGTGGATGCGGGAGAACCTGCCAGATACGACACATAGCATCGATGTGTGGCATGTAGCAAAAGGTATGAAAATAAAGCGTTACTTTTTCTATTGGTGGGAGAAAATGTTGCACATTAATCTTGATAATGTTAAAGCATGATATAAGCGTTACTTACTGGTAACATAATTATACAGGATGAACATATAAGTTATGTTTTAAATTTTAGGATTTAAGAAGAAGCTGTTGGCCCTAAGCAAAGAAAAGGATTGCGAGCACCTAAGAGAGTGGATAAAAAGTCTGGTCAACCATTTGTATTGGGTACCCTCCTCAGCACCTGATGACGAAGACAGTGAGCTCAGATGGGAAAAGTGGACCAGTATTACCAACCAGGTCCAGAACATTCACGAAGGTCATGGGCAACATTTTCAACGGTGTGAACATGGGGACCTTGACCCAGCAGCTAGACGAAAAAGATGGTTAAGACCAGGTAAGATCCCTTATACAATCCTGCAAGTTCCTACATTTACTATAATGGAACAAAATTAAATTTGGGGGTGGGGTATGACTTAGTGCAACATGTATAAAATTAAAATAAAAATACCAATTTTTTTTTCATATTTTAAATTTGAAAATTTTTAGAATTAAAACATTTTTGTATCTTTCAGGAACCAAAGTGATGGAGAAATTAGAAGCGATTGTCAATAGCAGGCAGATGAAGAAGGACATCCCCATGCTCTCATCATCATTTCAAACCTCCAGTGTAGAGGCATTCCATTCAGTAATCAATCAGTTTGCGCCCAAGATGTATAAGTTCTCGTACTTTGGAATGCAAAGTCGGTACGTTGTCTTGCTTATTGAAGAAAACTTTTACCATTTATATTTCCTACTGTACACAGTCATTACAAAGAGACAGTGACATACGGGGAAAAAATATGATTTATGATAATGTGATTTACATAAATAAATTATTAACAAATTGTTTTCAATTATAGCTTGGCCTTAGCAGCGCTTCACTTCAATGAGAATTCCAGTAAGGATCAGGCAGCAACAAGAGAGGGGAATCTTCAATACAGCATTGTATTTCCAAAGCACAAAAAGGGGGACTACACTGTGAAGAAGGTCAAGACGCAAAGTACTTATGGTAAATTTATTTTATATCTTCATTGTAATATCACAGATAAATATATACATACAAATATTTAGGTTTAACATATGGTAATTTAGACTGGATGGACATAAATTCTTTTACAGAGTATGTCGATGTTCTTACAAATGCTGCTAAGACAAGGGCCAGCAACATGAAGATGCCACAGTGTGGGGACCCTAGAGTTGCGCCACCGCCCCTGTGCGACCAGTATGTACTCCCCGAGAAAGACGATGCGGTGGGTCAGCTGCTTACAAGGTTCCGTAGGAATTAGGCCATGCCGAATCCTTGGTATGCACCATCTTCCTCTGGATACGTGTCCCGGATTTTCTGGACTGCACAAGCAGGAAGTGGTACCCGTACTTGTCTCCCCAACCATCCCCAGCACCATCTGGCCAGTTGCCTGTAGCCTATGTAACGCATCCGCCTGTAAAATATTACAAGATTAAAACATTTTTTAATGAAAAAATCCACTATTCCTTTCATTATATTTTTGTAATTATATCTAAGTGTGTTAGGGCATGTGTATGTTAAAGATTGTTATTGACTTTTACTGTTGTTTATGCATTTTAAGTTATTTTTTTATTCCCTGTTTTGACTACTTTTTTTAATAGACTATTGTTGTTTTGTCAGTTTTGTTTATGAATTTTCAGTTATTTCATATTGTTGATGTCTGTTGTTATGATTTTTTAAAAATTATTTTTATTTTTGTTATTTTGTCTGTTTGTTTTGTGTATGCTTTTTCAGTTAAACTTTAGTTTTGGATTAATTTTGCTGTTCATTCAAGGTAAAGTACTTGCCTTTTGGCTATAGATTAAGATATATTATTCTTGCATTGTTTTTGACTTTTTACTTATGTACAACTTGTAGGGGGGTGTTAAATTATTTCTTTGTTATTGTTTCATTCTTGCATTACTTGCAAGTTGTGAATTTTGTATGTTTCGTTTTGACCTTTAATGGTACTTTGTTTGATATACATGTATATGCAAATCGGTTTTTGATCTATGGAATCTACAATTCATGCAGGCATGATATACATCTATATATAAAGATTTTACTCTTGATCTCAAGGAATATTGTTTATATATTTTAATGTTGTCTCATTCATTAAAGATTCTTGAACTGATGAAACCTGACTTCATTTTTTGTCTTCAATCAAATTAAAAATCTATATATTTTTGTAGTGAACAATATTCAAATTATAATCTGCATTTCAAATGACAATGATACTAACCGATTAGTTTCGGGGAGTTCTTCATACTGTTGTAGATACACATAGTATGCAGTACGTAGAACTGATGGATGGAGACAGACTGGTTGGAAACCATTATGCTCTGTGATGCAGGGCTTCCCGGGATCCTCCTCAAGTACAGTCATTACTTGTGGAATTTCCTGGCAGCACACAGACTCGGCAATAGTAGTCATTGGGGGGCAGCGACCACAGTTGCACCTAAAAATATATCAGTCTGTAATTCTAATAGGAGAGTGAAATGTTTCAACTTTGAAATAATAAATTACTTGTGATCTGAATATGTTAATCAAAGTTAGTTCAGTCATGAACTTTGGGGTGGGGGTAAACATACCATACTTGTAACAACTGACAAGTTCTCAAAAGAATTTGCTTACAAAAACCTTGACCAAAAATTGTGATAACTGGTACAATAAATTATCCATTTAAAATTCAATAAATAATTTTAATTCTGAAAGACATGTTGCATTACAAAATTCAAATTGAATGTAAGAAAAAGGTTTTCTTATTTTAGTTTGTGTAAAACAGAGGGCTGCCAGAACAGAGCTCTGGTCTGGTAATGGTGTAATACGTGTATGCTATGTACATTAGGAATTTGTGATTTTTACAAGTTAGAAACCATGATAAAATATTCTAATGAAAAGTCCACTATCGTTAGATACTTTAATTTTATCGGATAAATAGTTTCCATAGGCCCCTTTTTAAGATTTAGCGATATAATTGCTAGACTTCTGTAGGAAGCCATGTAATATCATACCCCACACCTAGTTTCAATGAATATATACAGTCATCGTAGTAGAGATAACAGAATATTTATATTTATAATTGATCATGAACATATAGCCTAACTTCAACAATTTAAATAATAATATAAAAGCCCATTAGTAACAAATATAGGATAGATAACTACCAGTCATTGTTCCCAAGTCGATCTTGATCTGTGGCTTCCGGGGAACGTCCTGCCGCTGATTCCTCGTCTGAACTCGCTTCAGGCTCAAAAAGATACGGTTGTGTGCCCAAATTGGTCATCTCATCGATCGGTTCCTCAAAACTTGATGAACCAACCTCCCCATCGCTGTTTTCTTCACTATAAACGCTACAATCGCTATCTGTATTCGCCGCCATCGTCCTCGTAGTGACGTCACAACAACAGAGCCTCGTTTTCGACTGTTTCTATTTTCTCTTAATTAGATTTCCGGTGCAGGTAAAAATAGACATTTTACAAGCGGAATAACTCTGTTAATACCGCGCGGATTTCGATGCGGTTTTTTGCTGTGGTCATTTTGTGGCGATCGTAACAAACAGAAATTATTACAGTAGGCATTGCATATACCCTTTAATGTAATAGAGTTTAGGTTAATGTAATAGATTTTCTATTTATATAATACAGTTCATATTATTGTAACTTCCTGTTATTGTGAGAGTTCCTGTAATAGTGATCCTCTTAATGTGATAGAATGATATAGGTTATGTCTGGTTAAGGGCTGTAGCAGAGATAAAACCAGATTACTGAACATATCCATGCAGTAATAAGCATTGGGCTTGCTTTACATTCAAACATTCTTAATTAGAGGATTCTTATCTGCCGCTAGCATTTCCAAAACAAAAACATTTCCGAGGATTTAATGGCAAACGCATTTTTCTTTAAATATATTCCAAGTTTCTCTCTCTCTCTCTCTCTCTCTCTCTCTCTCTCTCTCTCTCTCACACAATTACATTTCTTCCTTGATAATGTTGAAAAAAATCATCTCTGAAACCAAGAAAAAAAAATAATTCCACTATATAATTGCCTGTATGTAATTTCGAAGCAAACCCTCCTTTATGTTTTTTAAGTTGATATGGGCTCTTTTTTCTTTTTTGTTTGTACTTGAGATTTAGAGTATGTAAGCATAGTTCGATATTCGATCTTAAATTACGATTTATCAATATTCAAATCAGATTCAAACCTTTTAAGACTTGTATTTGTATATAATAGTTATTGTTACCTTAGAGCTAATGCGCAATTTCATGCACGTTATCGTCTCAGTAGTAAATAGTTTAACTATATATCAATTTCAATTTCCAGAAAAGAAGTTTTCTTCAAAAAGAAGGGTTTACATAAATTTCATTTCTAATCTAGACACCATTATATGCTTCTGAATGTAAGCCAAACAGTTTTCTAAAACTTAATTTAATTATTGTAAAACAAGTTGTCTTGATTTATTTTGTTCAACATCGAAACCAAACTAAATGTAGGGGGATTTCAAGACTCAGTCAGTAAGAAATTAAAAAATTAAAATTTTCGTTAGATTATTCTAAAATCACGATCCACTTCTGTTCTCTTACTATCAATATATTTGGTGAGTACTTTTTCTTTCTCCTCTAAATCTAGGACGACCATGTGCGCCCCCTGCTGGTGACGGAATTCACTGGAATTCAACATGGACGTCGGTTCCTTGTGGAAAAATAAATACCAACCACTCACATTGATAAATCCCGGGGAGCATATCAAACCTCTGTTTCGGATATCCCATGCTAGGGGAACATTGTAAAGATTGTGAATTAATGGCGATCAAAACTGTCAAATGATATACATAATACAAGAGTATATTCGTCATCTAACAGGTTATGCTTCAATCTTTAAGATGTTCCAACTCTAACAATTTCATGTTTTCAACTTATATAAAGTTTCATGCACTTCAATTCACATCAACAAGTCATTGTAAATACATGTATGTTAAAATGTTAATGATAACGTTTGAGGAGTGAAGTTTCTTTTATATAAAGCACTACCTGTATAATGTAGATATACCTTACAGTTAAAAAATGTTATATAGTAAAACATGGGTTAAAACAAGATTCCTTCCTTATATTTTTATTTTGGTGTAGACGACCAGACAATTTTTCCTACCAAAAATGGCTTAAAATTGAGCATATTTTAAAAGCAACTTCAAACGAGGTAATATCGTCATATTTCTTTCAGAAAAAAAAACCTATTACCAATTTTCAAACAATTTAAAAGTAAATAACCCCTCCCCTTTTTTGTTTTAAACTTTGTATTATTCCAAAGGTGATTTTTACTATGTTTTACCTGTTACAATCTATCTCAACAGGAATGTTACTACAATCGGAAGGTCTCTTGACATTAGATTGAAATGAATGCATTGGGTATTTCTTTAACCATCACTAAATAATTAAATCCAGGAAACAATTTCAGCAACTCTCTTTGAAAGTAGAAATAATAACAGGGCCATTTTTCTGTAAACATGATAATGTGTCAAAGTGTCATATAGAGAGGAAAAGTAAAGGTTTTATTCAACTTTTGACTTTTTTTAATTTGTAGGCATATATGTATTTTTCAGTTCAAAAATAGTGCGTATGAATTCTTTTGACTGAAATATATTATAGATATCCGATTTAAATAACTGATATTTTACTGAAGTCAAAACAGCAAATTATCTGAAAAAAAAGTTATGAGGAACTCTTGAAGTAAAACCTGACGAGATAAATCATGAAGAGTTATTTTCATTGTCTCATAAAAGCTTTTTACCTTTTGTGACCTAAAAAAAGAAACAAGTAACATCTTTTTTAAAAGCTTGCCAGACTAAATCAATCAATATCTGCCTGAGAAGGAATAAACATCTGGAGCAACAGCTTTGTGGGTATAACATATGTATTAACTATTTATTTTGAAAATCTTGTGCAAATGAAAACCTCATTGTATTTAATCATTTCTACACTGCATACATATACTAAAGAGTTGTTATTCTGTTGCTGTTTTCTTCATGTGGAGCGGTCTGCCTTTGGATCTAAATTGATTTCAAGCTACATCGCAAAACCTTTTATAAAATCTGTTATCAAATCATGAATTGTAAAAATTTTAAAAGATGGATATAATTTGATACACAATTTGTTGGACTGTTTTTTCTCAACTGAAGTAAACAGTAGTAATGTGTGTTCATTAATATTTTTCTTAGAAAGGAAGGGGGTTGGGGTTAAGTAAGAAAATCCAAGATTTTGAACTAGTTTCTTATTTATTGTATACA